CATTTATATTTAAAAATGAACCAAGAATGGTGCTTTTTGCAGATGATACATCATTAATTTTTAAAGTAGATCGACGTACAAATAATCTTGACGACGCAAACGGCTCCATTCTTCAAGTGCATAATTGGTTTACCATTAATAATCTAGCACTTAACCCATTCCGTGCGTTTTAATGTTTTTTATTTGTGTGCCTACAACGCACCCGTGTAGCGGAGAACCTAACGGGTAATCGGGGCTCTGGCTCGACGTGCAGGAGAAGGAACGGGGTAGTTTTTAGTCAGTAAGAGTCTGACACTCCCTCCCGCCTCACCCAGGCGGGAGCAGTCATCCGATGATTTTCCCCCCTTAAAAAAAATGCGTTTCGTGTATGTCTTACTAAAGCATATTTTTTTTATAGTGCGTCTTATTAAATGTTGCCATTTTTCTACTAAACTCTATTTAGATGATATTTCTGATTCAGCAACACTGATAAAGTAGCAATAGACAATGTCATATTTGAATTGACGTCAGTTTTTGTACTGTGAATTTTGCCGGTAATGTGAATCAAGTTTTTGCAGTGATTTAAGGGATAATAAATATCATTGTTTAATCAAATTTAATGATTTAATTATCACAAGAACGTTCATTTAGAACTGCCTATAATGTTTTGGATATTATTATAATTCAAAATATACCAACGATAATGGTGCGTTCAGTGGCATTTATAAATGACTTTGTTCGTGGATGGTGTTATAAATCGATAATAATCGACTGATTCATAAAGCAAGTCAAATCAAAGCTTACATTTGAATTTTAATTTGTTGAATAAAAATTGTTTAACTTGTGATAAAATAAAAATTGCTTCATAATTCATTGATTTTACGGAAAAGGTAATTTAAGTAAAGAGTTACGGCTTTAGGAAGCTATTTTCATAGAAAACTGTGAAATGTCAAACGGTACTTCTTAAATTTGTTGTAACATAAATAGTACCTACTACTGCTATTATAACTTACCTAATTATTTTATAACTTGGGATATTTCACTACAGACATCGGATTACATACCTACCTACACGTTATTCACCGACGCTTTTATTTTTAAATTGAAATGGTTAATTTTTTTAAAGTTACTTGTATTTTCGTCTACTCAGTCATTTAATTGATTAAAATAGATTTAAAAAAAAAGGAATTCTGATGGACGCTCGTAACAGTACGATAAAATTGCTTTGCGGGAAATTGTATCGGATGCTGAATATCGTACGATTAACGATGACGGGCGTGTTCTCCTACCTTCTCATGAGGTATACCGAAAAATTTCAAAACTGATGGCGGATAAAGGGTCGGATATTACACCCAAGCATGTCCATAACATCATTAACAACAACCGTGCTGGGTTTCGAGATTTAATCATGGAAATTTTCGGCATTCGAGAGACAGAAATAAGCATATCCGTGAATGATGCCAATTACAGCGTCGTAAAGTGTACAGACCAGTCCACCGTTAAGTTAACCAGTTTGACCTCTATGAAGGTAAACCTGGTGATTTCGCAGGAGACCATTTCTCCTGCGAAATCACCAGGTTTACCTACCGAAAGCATAAAACCCCACAAGAAATTATATGGTAATCGCGTGTATTGGACGTTACGAGAAGGGTGGGCAAATGTGGTCGCTGAAGCTTTGTGGGTGCAGCATCATTTAGACTGTAGTCACGTTCAAGTCTAAGGTGTTGGTAAATATCAAGACGACCAACACCTCGGTCTGCTCGTGACCATGGATGCTGTAAAGGATCCGAAACGTCGGGATTAAATAATATTAATATAATCGCGATAAAATCCGTAAAAGTAGTTTTATTTAAATGTTTAATATGCACGTAAGTGTCGGCAATCAGTAAAGTTTTTATTTTATCTTTTTTATTATTTCTAAAGGAAACATTTTAATTAAATTTGGCACAATCGCAATCAAGGTAATGAGGTATGGTAGGTAATGAACCATGAGTCAAATTAAGCTCAGTGTTCAACAGAGTTATAGCATGTGCCGTTATGAAGGATTTTGTTTGTACTAAAATTGTTACTATGGGCACCACCTTCAATTCTATTGCAGAAAAAAGATATGCACCTAAATAGGTTTTGTAGAAAAAGACAATTGTTAGGAGTCGTAAAACTTATTGAAACAATAGACTCATTCTTAAAATACTTAAAACAGTGGTAAACAAGAATTGCGCCTGCGCCCGTGTGATTTACAACACTCTCCATCCCTTTCACACCTCCCGGACTCCTGCGCGGGCGACGCCCGTCAACTTTCAATCAGTTGCCTCATTGCCTCGTGATTCTCACGTTGTTAGCTATGTTTCCGTGTAGCCTCTCTTGTTCTGTGATTTATCGACCCTAGCTTGTTGTTTCGGACTCTGTTTATGCCTACGTATTGGTGCGCTTGGTGATTTATTTATTATATTAAACCAAATTGGATAAAAACATTGGAAGGAAATCAGCTGGAAGACTTCCCGCTTAGGTCATATCAAATCGAACTTGCTAAATCATATTGCATCGAACATTTATGCAATGGTTTAAAATGAATTGAATAATTTAGCAGCATGCAATGTCCATCCTCAAAATGTGTGGCTATTAAGATGGAGGATACAGTCAAGACATGTTCGTGCCAGTACAAATTACGTATACTTTCTGGTTAATAGAAACGAAATGGGTCGAGATGCCATCGCTCAGTATTGCTGCTCGTGTCTAACAGGTAAACGCACAGTAGGGAGTTGTGCTCATACCATTTCAATAATATGGTATCTAGGGTTAGGCAGGCACATACAATTTAATCCACCGGCAGGATATTTAAACGATATTATTATTGATATTAATTGAAATGTTAATAATTTAAGTGTTAGCAGCTGTTTTGTTTTTTATGTATAATCTACATTAAACCTTTTTTTGCGCTTGAGGGAATCATCCAATGACTTCTCCCGCCCGGGTGAGGCGAGAGGGAATATCAGACTCTTACTGACTAAAAACCACCCCGGTCCTACTCCTACATTTCGAGCCGGAGTCCCGGCAACCCGTTACGTATCGCGGCTTCATGTATACATTAAACCTGGAATTTAAACTAGTTAAAGATGTTCAATAATAAAACCTACAATGCCATAACAGCACTACATTTTACAGAATTTTTGTTTATTTGTGGTCGGAGAAAAATATTTATAGCAAAATAACCCCATGGATTCTTCGCAAAAATGAATTTAAATCTTAATAAAGTCAAAGTCAAGATCATTTATTTCAATTAATCTAGAAAGGCACTTTTGAACGTCAACAAAAAATTTAAAGTGAAGCTATTTTCTCGTTCCAAGATGTAGATTCCTATGGTAAAGAACGAGCAAGAAACTCTTTTTCAATCAGGTTCACAATGCAATTCTCTAGTTACATAGTTTTGTTGTTTAGATTGTGCGAGAACAATGTAATACAAAAATACAGTCAGAGATCGAAAAAAATAACCTTAAAGGACAGAAAAAAATACTGACTGGAGCTGACCAGTCCCAGTTGACGGCGCGGCACCCGTTCACGAACATGACACTCACACCAGCACACGTACAACTCAACCATATTGTAGGGAATCGAGCGATCCAATGCACGTGCCACCACGTCTGAATCGCTCAAGGAGGGAATGGGCGCGGCGGGACGGGACGTGATCGCGCCCGCAGTGTGACCGATGCCGCCGCGCCAGCGCAGCTTCGCCGCCCTGCCACGCTACGCCGGCTGTGTGCAGAGACCTTTAGGAGAGACCTATAAGTGAAAAAATTAAAAATAAATTTTGGGTTTTATAAAGAGAGCACTGAAGCTAAATATAAATTGATTGAAATCCAAAAACAGTTAAATATCGCTGGTTCAAAAAGTTCGGATTGGGTAAACTTGTTTCGGTTTTAAAAGAAAGCATAAATTCAAGAAATCAACGTAAATCAGTACTCGATGACGACAATGACAGAATATTTAAGCCTTAGTAAAGGATTTTAAAAAGATACCCGAATCCGCGATGCTGACAACCAAGATTGATCTAATCCACCGAGCTCAAAGTGGCAGATATAATCGAAGCCACTATGAACCTATGACCAGGGACAGCCAACCTACTTACCCTCGATGCAGTTATACAAACTATCAGGAATATCAACAGGGATATTTTACTAAGCAATCGGATAATGGACCACTTGCCATAATGAGCTGCCGCCCTTCTCTGTCACGTTCCAGTGAACTGCCGCCGCCATTGGATTCAGGAAGAGAAGAAAATTCTATCTAATCACCTGAATCAAACTACTCTCAGGCCTCGCAAGATTCAGAAATAATTGAAACGTTTTTAAATAATTATTGACACTGCACCTTTGATTATGAAAATACAGTACTTAAATACTTTTAGAGGTATGTATCTACTAGTTTCACTTATCTACTGACCGTAAAGATATAATTTGAATAAAAGTAGATGTGTTTTTCCTTGGCAGGGGCGAAATTTGGTTACGGTGCCGGTGATTGATGGACTTACATCCCTAATTAGTAAGTAGTGGCCCCCTCACTATAATGTGTTATATAAGGTAGGATACTCGTCATTAACGCCGCTGTCTACCTGTCATAGTCTAGTGTGTGTACACGTCGTGCGCCCTGCACATTATTGTAATAAATCCAAGTAAAATAAATCCGTCTACAATTTATTGATCCACCAACATAACATGGTGTCAGAAGTTATTTAAGAACTAGAACGTCCGTAAGTGCAAGTAAAAATAGGAACAAAGAAGAAATAAGCGACGCGAGGTACCATGTGGCCGGTATTAAAAACCTCGTGGTGTCGTCGGAGGCAACAGCCAACAACGCGGAAGCATGGAAGAAATGGTGGCAGCGTTTGGAGTTTTATATTCTGGTGTCTGGTCTGGACAAATCGGAAGAGAAGATGAAGGTGGCAATCCTCTTACATCATGAGAATGTTAGAATAATGTTATAATAATGAATGTTAGAATAATAATATATAATCAAGTAGTGGGGTATTCCAACCGCTGGACGCTGAGTTCGTCGTCGAAGCCGACAATGGCGACATGGACGTGCTAATGCAAGAAATATTCTTGTCCCCGGATGCCCATGCTCTGTATGTTTCTCTGTATGTCAGGGGAAACCCTGAGGAGCGTAAAATGAATGAGAGTGGAAGAAATCAAAGGGAATACAGCGAAAGAAGGAAAAGTAAGCGACTATGGAGTCCTTTCTAGGCCAGGAGGGAATTTGTAGTTCAGAGCATACTGGTTCTGTAAACGTTTACAATTCGTCATAATATGATGCTTTTCGCTCCTATAGAGCGATGACGTCTTAGGCCTAATTGTGGATGAAACGAATCGGTATGCCACTAAAATGTCTGATGCTTTCCAGGCTGTATGGAACTAATGTTTATGAAAGGAGATTGGGACTTGTGGGCCCAATTGTAATAATAAGTTGAATTATGGCTTAAAAAAAGGTATTTTTTTTTTATTTCATACTGTAAAAAATCAATTCAATTTACAATCTGGGAAATGAAAAATCCAATAATTATGTTAGGGTTACGAATTATCGATTCAATTGTAATCGATTAACGTTACAGAGTTTATACTATTTACGAAAATGCTTTCACCGGTTGATTTATTTAATTAAAATAATAAAATCTATTAGAATTAGAGTATTAAGAGTTAAAACTAATTAGTTATCTACATAATTAATATTAGACGATTCACATTTACTAATCGATTATTGAATTTTCAATCTGTGCTAACTCTGACTTGACATGATTCGATATCGATATAGAGCATGATTGCATATGCTCTATGACATCGATCGACATTCGTTTCGTATCGTCTGTGCGTGTGCGTTCTGAGTGTCATTTGTTTTCCTCCCGTTTTGTTTTTGTTTTTATTGATAATTATTATTCCTCGACCCGGCTTCCCGGAAGATCACAGGTCCGTAACCTGTGATCTTCCTCCTTCTACGACCCTTGCCTTTCTACCATACTGGACACCGAGAACCCCGCTTAAACGTTGAGCTTGGACTTGTTATTTTGGATTCTACGAACGGCCTACTGATAGGATATATTGATCGACATCATGGATCGTTGTATAAATTGTGGTATAGCGACTAGTCGCTGCAATACACTAGGGTATCGAGCTTTGGATGACGAAATGATATTAGCAGTGGTTGCGGTCACCGGTGACCGCAACCTATTGTTCTATAATTGTGTCTACAAAACCGGTACTCGACGAGTTAATGTGAAAAAGACAAAGACTAAAAGACAAAAATATATTTTTAAAATACTTAAATGATCATGTATTGTTTGTTGTAGATAGAAGTTACCAGTCGCATATGTCATGCTTGTTGGGTGGCTGCAGACAGAGCTGCTGTCCATATGGTCTCACGCCCATCAACTTCTTCCCAAGCAAGTCGAATGGAAGAAATACCAGTACAATTTCTTGCTGTTGATGAAACACAGCCCCGGGAACAAGTTCTTGCTGCTGACTCTTCCACTGAAGAAGTACATCCGCCACCAGTACAAGTTCGTGCTGTTGAACTTCCAGTTGAAGTAATACAGCCACCGGCACAAGTTATTGCTGCTGACCCTCCAATGGAAGAAGTTAGAAGAAATCAGCAGGAACCTACTATTGTATTACCAGATTACATAAGAGCTATTGAAACAGAAAGGAGGTGCTTTATTGAAGGATGCCAGAGAACAGAGAGGTACAGGGTTCCACTTTCTACCAGAAAAATGTTGCTCAGTCGGTATAAATATTATGTCCCTGAGAATAATCGTCTGTGTGATAGACATTTGGTTATAGAAGCATGGGATTTTCTTACCAGTTTGAGAAATAATTATGTACAGACTTTTACAGCAAAACATATCCAGGACATGTTGTCCTTAAAAGAAGTTGTACAATCAGGATTACTTCATTTTAAAAGTATAGATGATATGGAAGACCATGTCATTCACACATGGATAGGGTTGAACAAAACACAGTTCCATCAAATGTTTAATGAGGTCCCTCAGTTATTAGAAATACCTAGAGCATCCCTAGCTTTAGCAGCATATTTAATTAAACTTAGAACTGGGGATTCTAATGAGAGGTTGTCGACTTTATTAGCAGTCTCTAGGCGAACTCTAGAAAAGTGGTTGCACCAAGTGAGAGATCTGCTCTATGAGTATTTTGTACCTAGACACCTAAGTTTACACCACATTAATAAGCAACAAATTGTGCAAAGAAATCTTTCAATACCTAAAACATTGTTTGGTAACTTTGAGGGAGTTGATAGGCCCATTGTACATCTAATATAAAAAAAAAATAAAAAAAAATATTTGATGGAACATATTGTTACATTGAAAAGAGTTCGAATTATTCTTACCAAAAAATGACATATAGCTTGCATAAATATCGAAATTTAATGAAACCGTTTTTAATGGTATGTACAGATGGCCATATAATTGATGTGCTGGGCCCCTATCCAGCCACCACTTTAGACGCTGATATAATGAAAAACGAATTTGCAATGTGGATATAGGACTTTTGTGCCTGCTTCATTAGAGGAGGGTGAGACACAGCTTTCCACTATTGAAGCAAATAAATCGAGAGCAGTCACCATATGTCGTTAGGTTGTGGAGGTGGTAAATGGCAGATTTAAAAGAGATTTTAAATTATTGCGGCAAAATTATTTCAACGTAGCGAGTAAAAGTTTTGTAAAAGATTTTGAAGTGGCTGCTGCTCTTTTAAACAGTTTTAACCTTCCTATTGTTGATCGTGAAGATACTGTGGAAATATTGGATCAAATAAATATTCATATGAATGAAGAAAATGAATTAGCAGAATTTATTGTAAGAAACCATTATAATAGGCGTAGGGCTAATTTTCATACAATAACTGTACAAAATGATAACCTGAATGATTTTCCACAGCTTACTGATAATGAGCTCATACTAATATCACTAGGCACGTATCAAATCAAGCAGGCACGTCCCTATTTCGGTGAACATGTAAGAGGCAATGATGGGTATGTAATAGAAGTGTGCAGGGAGGTCAACAGCAGCCTACTTCGAGAGCTGTCGGCATCAAATTCCTCATGGCTACTAAGGGGCCGCATTCAATCAAGACATATAAGTCGCAAAACGTATTTTGTTTATATTTTAGTTGACAGTTCTCGCAGAGATAGGAAAGCAATATTAAAATATTATTGTAACTGCATCGTAGGTAAACGGACTGTAGGCTGCTGCGCCCATGTTATGTCAATAATATGGTACCTTAGTTGGGCAAGGTATCAAGAAAATGTTGTACCACCTGCGCAATTCCTAGATGACGTTCTTGTTATAATTGAAGAAAAATAAAAAATATCAATACAAAATGATTTTTATTTTTAAACATCATTTCCATCCTCCTCTACAAAATATGTTTAACATCGTGTAAAAATATATCGGTCGCGAGTCGCGGAATAGTTCGAAAGTATTGCCGTGGCCCCGGAATACAAAGACAACCGAAGGAATAGGTACAGGCAGGTGGATTTTAGTCAGTAAGAGCCTGACACGCCCTCGCTCCACCCAGAGCGGGAGAAATCATTGATGATTTCCCACCTGCCCAAAAAAATATAGAGGAACAATCCTAAATACACACAAATATACCCACGTATACTGATAAAACCATTGCCCTCCGGCAATCGAGTAAAAAACAACAATCGCACTTTAAAAGTGGGCTATTATATTACCTCACTTTTCTTAAATCTCTTATACCTCGGCTCTCAGATTGCCAAAATCTGCAAAATTTTCAGTGATTGTTTGCTTATATAGTAGCTATCAATTGACACTAATTTCATCTTTTTACATCTAGGCCCAAAATTGTATGAAAGGGTATCCGTCTCCTTTTATGTCTTTATATTCGTTCTGGATTATGATGGGGATGGACTTTATTACGATAACAAAGGATATAGGCTATTTATGAGTAATTGGTACAATTCGCATCTATTTGCTAGATTTCTGAAGCTTAATGGTACCGACTGTGTTGGTACCTTGAGATCTTCTCATAGAGACGTTCCCGCTATAATAAATAGGGATCGTCTTAAAAGGAGTGAGTTCATGGCGAGACACTACGGCGATGTGTCCACACTAAAATTGAATGGGACAAATTATATAACTGTGTAAGCCAAATTAATTTTAACCCAATTTATGAAACTGATGATTGCAACCTCGCACTGAGTCATTTGATAGAGGAACTGCAACTAGCTTTACATCAAAACTCTGCAGTCGTCAGACTTCCACACCGTAAGCGGATAAACAAAATATGTATTTTTTTGGGTAAAATACCTACTGTTTTACAAAATATGTATTTTTGTAAAACAGTATTTATTATCTTTATATATATATAATTCTTCTGTGAGTGTGATGTCACTGAACCAATTTTGATGACATTTTTTGTGTGTGTTCAAGGGGATCTGGGAATGGTTTAGATTTACCAATCAGCCCGGCAGATGGCGCTGCTGTCGATGGCTAGGTTATTTATCCTAAACAGCTGAACTAATTTGAATGAATTTTTGTTTATACATTCAAGTGGATATGCAGGACAGCGTCTGTTGGGTCCGCTAGTTTACAATAAAATAGCAATACACCAGTAACTTAACAAAAATCATTATAAACACCACTAAAACACATTATAAAAATACAGTAAAATCTAAAACTTCTTCTCGTAACCTTTTTCTGGCAATAGGACACCGAGGTACCTATCTCGTCAATGTTTACATATTGCGCGCTAGTAATGGCGGCATTTTGTTGAGTTACTGTAAAAGTGATTGTGTTGTGTAATTATTGTGTTTTGATGTGATATGAGTAATATTGTTTTTGCGCAAATGTATGGACTATCGTATTCAAATGTTTTTTTTTTTTTTGAGAATATGTGTGTGGTTTTGGTGTAATGTGAGAAAGTTAAAGGTTAGTGTGTAAGAAAATTTGCAAAATGCCAATTTATCTCGTCGCTACGAAGTCAGGTCAGTACAGTATCTTACACAGTTCGATAGGACAACTAATGTGCTTACCGGGAAGGTATTATTTATTGCATATAATTATCAATATAACTACGAAAGTTGCGTTTTTCTCAAGGTCAAACAAAAAAAAGAATAATTGAAAAATCCTCGACGCGTGAAGCACTTTGGGTGAATGTTCGCGAACGTTCGAGAGGATAAGCTAGTTTTACAAAATATTTGTTTTATTTTTTTTTAACATCGCCGCAAATGAACTAATATACTAGGCCTGTTGCCTTAGCTTTTTTATGTAGGTATATATGTTGCTTATAAATATAGTATTTTAGTTGTTTTACAAACAAGATGACGCCCGAAAGTGACCGTATTCTGGCTTTGGCTAGAAAAGCAGCCTCAAATACTACCGACATGAACGAAGTCTAGTAACGGAAGTGAAAGACGTGTAGCTACCGAAATGAATAAACAACGTGTTGTTACCGACTTAAATGAACAACGTGTGGTTACCGACATTAACACAATATGACTGCGGTATGTGAATTTTAATGATCATCAGAAAATATTTGATTTATAATGAATACAAAAATTCTTATGTTTTTGAATTTGATAAGTTGCTTGTTGAAGAAAATCTGCTCAGATGTAATAAAATTTTAACAACTTCGGATGAAGAAAATGAAAATTCACAAATTAATAATAGTCAAAGCTTATTCCAAAATTCTGATGAGTGTTAAGGATACAGACTATATACCTTATTATGCTTCTGATATCCTAAACTCCTTGCACACCCTTTGCTACACTCCAACCAATTTCACACCATGTCACAATCATGTGAAATGCATTCTCTACAAAAATAATATTTGTACTAAAGATATGATGTATAGACAACAAAATGAACATGTTGCATAGAGCATGTTTATGCAATAATATGGCAAATAGTCAGGCCATCAGGACTTTTCATTAATGAAGAATTTGGATTCTTAGTAGTTAGCCCTGATGGTAAAATTATTCGATAATAAAAATATACAAATAACTAGTTTTTGTCGCGTGCCTGTGTCGCGTGAATTTTTTAAATAGGGTTCAGTAGCGTAAGCCTAAAAACTTTTCTGTTTTACAGATATTATAGAAGCAGAAAATACTATAGTAGAAATAAAATGTTTTCCCTCCTTGGAAAGGAAATCTCAAAATATTCCAAAAGCATCAGAAAATAGACATTTTCCTATTTATTTGGGAAATGATGTTTTAGTTATGAACAAAAAGCATAATTATTATTATCAAGTAAGTATCAAATATCATATATTTCTTGGTATGTATGTATAAAAATTATTTAGTTCTTGGATAGTTTCTTTTTAACAGCTATTATTATTTTGATTCTAGGTCCAGGGTCAATTGCGAATTATCAAAATGAATAAATGTTACTTCATTAGCTTTATATCTGTCATCCAACCATTGACTGTCATAGAAGTTAACCGGGGTAAGGAATTTATCAGTGCTATGATGCCTAAGTTGGTGACATTTTTTAAAACATGTGTACTGCCGGAAATCATTTTGAGAAGAGTTGAGAAAAATGCTAAATGTCTAGACATCAAGGAATTGAAAGGTATAACAATATAAGTCTTACTCATTTCCTAACTTATTCTGCAGGTCTCTGAGGTGTGGGTTTAGTAAGAATAATCTAACAAAACTGTGTAAATTCATTTGTTGCAGCGAAAACTACTTTTCTAGCATTTGATTCAGATCACACACAAATTATTTAAATGGAAGTAAAAAGTCACAAGCAAAAGACTGATATGGCACGGCGGCGGCGGCGGCGGCGACTGCAAAAAGTAGCGCGTAGAGAAGAAGACATTTTATTATAATATTTTTTAAGTATCTTTGTATGGTGTTACGAGTCGATGGTTCGAATCCAAGCCGGCACTCTGCTTTGTGTAAATTATTTCAGCACCACAGTTCAGAGGAGGCCTGAGCCTCAGCAGGGGGAACATTATAGAATAATTAATAAGCTATTTTTGCACGTAGTGATGTATAGTTTGTAATTTTGTTAGTTCATAAGATTTTATTGTGTAGATAAGTTTCACTGATGCATTTAGGTACCAGCCTAACAATTCAATTGTAAAACATTTTATATTTATTTCATATTTATTGAAGTTCAAAATTGTATAATAAATAGGTATTCTTGAAAAATAAATGTTCTGGTTAGCTAGCAACCACTTGTGTGTTGTTATGTAAGATTCTTACAATCTTACGTATGATGTTATTTATATTGTAATCTACATACATAATTCTTTCTAATACTAAATTTAAAATCATAATTGTAAATATCTAAATATTTTAAAAATTGTTATATTCGTATGATAGATCGATTTTTTGAATCCAAATGGAAACTATCTAAGTAAATGTAGTGAGAGTAAATGAAACGATTATTTTTATGAAAATATTAACACTGTTTTACTAAATAAATCTTATTAATTTATAGTAAGGTACAATAAAAAGCTTTACAATTGAATAAATAGTCTTTCATTTATTTATTTAATAAAGTCACTATTTACACATTACAATTTAGGTTCAGTCACATCAACAACTTATAGGGTATAGGGGTATAGTAGGGGATATAAGTACAGTATACCTTACCTATATTACCTAAAATAATTTATATGAATAATTTGCTAAGTTGAAAAGATATCGAGTCTAGAAACAAAAGTATACTTAGACCAATTATTATACAGGGTGGGCCAATAATTTTTGCAAATAGCAACACTAAATTTCCCGAATACCGTTGGAAGGAGGGGTGCGCGGGTGGCGGGAAACTATGCGTCGCTACAAGCACAATTTTAGTCACGATGGAGCGCTTCACGGGACAACAGCGTGCTTTTTGTATTAAACAATTTTACAAAAACAACGATTCCTACGTTACTGTACGAAGCCTGTTTCGAATTGATTATGGATTACGCCGTGTAAGCGAGTGTCCATGTGTGAATTTAATCAAAGCTTGGGTCGTGAAGTTCGAGCAAACGGGATCGACAACGAATATTAAACAAACAGGCCGGCCACGTTCAAGAAGAAGCGATGAGAACATTCGAGAGGTTGAAATTTCCGTTCGGAACGATCCAGAATTATCAGCGCGTAAGCGTTCGGCGGTTCTGGCATTACCGAGAACCAGTCTATGACGGATTTTACATCTAGACCTCAAAATGCACCCGTATAAGATTTGATTGTGCAGAAGATGAAACCAAATGATTACATTCAACGTAAGTTATTGGCTGACACAATGCTGGAGCAATTCTCTAGCCTGGAGAATGTATTCTTTACGGACGAGGCCCACTCTCACATCAACGGGCACGTGAATAAGCACAATTGTCGATATTGGAGCGGGGATAACCCTCGCCTTAAACACCAAAAGCCACTTCATTCACCTAAAACGACAGTATGGACTGCCATATCAGCAAAGGGCATAATTGGTCCGTATTTCTTTGAAAATAATCAAGGAGATAATGTAACTGTGAATTCAGCGGAATACGTCAAGATGTTGCGAGAGTTTTTGACGCTGCAGTTGCATGAATTTCAAGGATACAACAGCAGGACCTGGATGCAACAAGATGGAGCAACATGCCACACGTCAAATGTGACTTTACCGGTAGTCAAAGAAATGTTTCCGAATAAATTGATTTCTCGCACAGGTGATATTCCAGGGCCTCCGAGAAGCCCGAATCTTACACCATGCGAGTTTTTCTTATGGGGATACCTGAAAAGTCGAGTCTACCTTAATAAACCGACGAATATATCCCAATTAAAACAAAGCATCCACGACGAGATAGCCGCGATCCCCCGCAGCATGTGTCAGCGAGTTTTCCAAAGTTTGCGTAGTCGATTGCTAGAGTGCCAACGACGAGCCGGTGCACATCTCGACGATGTCATTTTTAAAAAATAAATTTCATTAAATTTTCAAATCAACAAAATAACAGTTGTAGTTTTATTTCTATTCATGTTTTAAAAGTGCAAAAATTATTGGCCCACCCTGTACTAATAAGAAATAGATGGGAACATAATTTCAAGTATATAAATTAATATTTTTATAGTATAACGACATCTAGTTGTGTTGAAAGTTACTACTATTTACTTTGTATGTGTGTGTAAACAGTAAAGTCAAGCGGCTAAATCTTTATTTTGTAGTAATCTTTGTATGAGACCAGATAACAAGAACAATGGCTATCTGAAAAAACCAAGTTAATGCCCTAGCACTCAGTTGCACGAAAGTGTCCATAATGTGGACATTAACTAATGCACCTTTAAAGTTAATGTTTTCATTACGTTGATTGTTGTTGCACGAAGCCACATTAGCTTCGTAGCCTCCTTTCATTAACTAATCAGCAGTTTAACGGAATCATTAAATAAAGAGTGAATGAAGTGAATGATTACGTTCCGTTACAAGTATAAAATCATAATATTCTTGAAAAACGAAACGTTTTATGAAACAAAATGACGTTTATTGCAAAGTGACAATGACATTTCAATTTGTTTTCATTCGGAATTCGGTGTTCGTGCGTTTGTTTTTGTTGATTTAATATAAATTAAAGATATGTCAGCCCAAAGAAAACGTGGTTGTAATTACACAAATGAAGAAACTGCAAAACTCCTGGAGCTTGTGGAACAGTAAGTATTATACCTATTAATCGACAACAAAAACACCACGCTATCCGTGTAGTGAATGTGTTTGGCAAAATGTTAAGTTCTAGTCAAGGTATGTAGGTCTATTCATTTACATTATTTGATTATTTTCTATGTTTTAAGGCATCGCACTTCAATAGAAGATAAAAGGACGGGTGCCATTTACCTACGCCAAAAACAAGAAGCGTGGGATAAAATTTGCCTTGCGTACAACGCTGTGGCAACAAGTGGTGTGCGTACTGTCGGACAACTTCGTGTTATGTACGACAATAAAAAACAAAAGGCCAGAAAAGCCCTTGCTTTACACAACGTGAGAAGCTTTTTATTATATATTATTGTTCAATTTTAACATTTAGTGGGAACAAAATCGTTTAATTGCATTATTTGTTTACAGAAAAATGAATATATTAAAAACAATGTTGTGTTATCGTCATACAACATTTCTGAGACAGAATTTAAAGATGCAATCCAACATGAAACAAACGATAAGGTGGGTTAGGTGTAGAATGTGTTTTGATAATTATGTATTATTTATTGTGAAGATTGTCCTTATAATAACTCAAAATAAAGTATTAATTGTGAAATTTAAAATTACATCTTTATTCCAGGGACAGTGTAGTAAAACTGATGGTGGTAGTTGGTGCCCCTCAGTTACAGAAAGTAACCAGAAAATTTTGGAACTCTTGAAAGATCAGGTCACTCCATTACACAATGAGTTTGATAGTGCTGCTACATTTTTTGGAGGCAACGATGTTCCCATCTCCAATTTAGTACCTATTTTATTGAAAGCATCCAAAAATGTTATCTTTATCTTATCTTTATCAGCCTGTTGATTTGTCCCACTGTTGGAAAATGGCCTCCTGTTAGAGGGGTTAGGCAGTAAGATGCCGAGAGCGATGTCTTTAGCTCACATAACTTTTCCTTATACAAAAAGTCATTGGTCTGGTTTCGAACACACGACCCTCGGAATGAAAGCCGGAGATATCTACCCCTAGATGAATAATGCTCTCATTTAAGTAATGGTTAACTAGGTAAACGTCTGTAATGTTAACCATTACTTAAAATAATTATTAATTTTATTACAGACACAATCAATATCATGGGCAGTGAAGACCACACTCAAAATGTTGTTATTATTGATAACGGTGTGCTGTCAGGTAGACACGGTAAGTTATATAACGTGATACTCTTTAGCTAGCTTTAGTAGACAAATTAAAAAATAAGAGAAAAATTCTGAAAACACACAATATTTGCAGGTTGCATTTTGACCGCAGTTTTAATGCAGTCGTACCAACTGGGTGTAACCTGCCAATACAGTCAAAATGCAGCCCTTCTGTCTACACCCTTACATACATACATTAACACACAACACACACATTACAACTACATTTACTTATTTATTACAAAAAATTAAAATAAGTATTTGGAGATAAAGTTAAAAAAGTTTTCAATCTGAATCTGACTTATCAATGTCAACTTAACTTTATTTGCAGAAGCTGATCTCTCATCGAAAATGAATGCAACACCAAAATGTGGAAAGACTCCAAAAATAGTGAAAAGAAGACAAAATGGTAAATATCTATTGAAAATTGCATTGAACCTTAGCATAACTACCAAACTGGGTTAGGGGTTACTTCAGGATAAAGTGGGCCATGTCAATTCAAAACATATTGCACATTCCATTAACTAACAGGGGTGTCAAGACCTAAATTTGCTAACAAGTTGTTTTGTATCACTTACATCAAACCTTACTTATGTGCACCATTGCATGTACTTACTTTGTATTTGGTTATTTTAGTTTTCTTTTATGCCTATATTTTTAGGTAGGAACCTACTTATTCAAGTGCTTATTATATTTTCTATAGCAACTACACCTCACCGTCCCAAAAGAAATGGACAAGTAAATTATAAAGTTCTCTACTTCAAAAGAAAGAGTTAAAATGCATATTTGGAGAGAAGGCGCTTACATCAAGAAATCAGACTGCGACAAAAAGAACATAGCTTGTTGTTGAAGGAACATCAAATAAGGCTTCGACATATGGAAGAAGAACACAAAATGAAGATGAATAAATAGCAACATTTTTTATAAAATTCATCTTTATTTTGTGTTCTTCTGTATTATTTTTCAATAAAAATAGTATTTTTTTAAAAGTATGTTTCATATTTTATTGCCAAAACAAATTTTATATTAAAATATCATAAACTTCATGGCGTCATGCACACATAAATGTTCTACAGTCGGTGGCGCTGTGTGTTGGGTTGTTCCGTTCCCAATAAAAAGGTTGACCGGACCAATTGCTGACACACACGTCATACTCGTGAACGGGTGCCTTCTGCTGGGTCAGGTCGGCTCTCCCATCTTGTTGGTGGGCTGGTTTCATAAAGCCTTTGAAATAGAAATAAATAAATAGTGCCTAATTATTATGTAATCTATACTTTTGGTAATAATTATAGATGTAGTTAATTGTAGTGTGTAACTAGGTTCCCTCTTTACTTTATAAAAATTGACTAGATGTATTATAATTAAAAAACTGTATGACAAGGGCACGGACCTAGAGTCCGTGGAGAAATAATCTATAATATTAAAAAAAAAACAACGTAAACACTGTAGACTGATCCTTTAATATACGGTAGACTTTAATAGTTCTGCACTTGTTATTGAGTGTCACAAACACTATCACCTGCTAATTATGGTTAATTCACTCTGTCGCACTACTGTTTATACACTTACAATGTTTATTTATATTTTTTATTAATTTAAAGTTTGCGATTTAGTGTCACTTGGCCAGTGTTGCCACAAAAAAAAAATAGTTGTCAGGCAATCAACTAAAATACTCTGAAATAGAGCTGTATAAATCAGTTGCAAAAAATGCAAATGGAACTCAACAGACGAAAAAAGCTAAAGCTGGACTTGTCCAGAGGTTAAAAATATCCAGAAAATTGACACGTTCTGAAGCATACAAAATGGTCACCAAGAATTTATCTGAGGCAGCAAAAACGTTTTTTGATATGGAAATAAGGCAGTCTACGAAGCATCCTAAGGGACATCGCTTCACCTTGGATGAAAAAATTCTTGCTTTATCGCTATATAAACCGAGTCCAAAAGCATATCGCTTACTAAGTCGAATATGTTATACCAAAAAAACACATTAAATAAATTATTGAAAAATATATTTTTGTTGCCTGGACCAAACAACGTGATTTTTGAACATTTAAAGAAACGGGTGGATAAAATGCCCGAAACTCATAAATATTGTACGGTCATATTCGATGAGATGGCCATTGCTGCCAATTTGACTTATGACCAACATGATGACCAAATAAAAGGATTTTGCGATGATGGCAGTACACAAATAAAATGTTTTGCTGACCATGCACTGGTCTTTATGGTCAGAGGAATATTTAACAAATATAAACAGCCAGTCGCTTACACATTTTGTGCTGGGAGTACAAACACAATGAGTTTAAAAAATCAAATTAAAATAATTGTGACAAAAATTTTTGAAACTGGGCTAATAATAGTCTCGGTAACATGCGACCAATTCAAATATAGCAGCAATACATTTGCTAATTAAGGAGACTAAAGAAAAACATTTTAGAAATAACAAAGAATACAAAGAAGAATTTTTCGAAATCAATTATAGAATAATTTATCCCATTTTTGACCCGCCACATCTCATAAAAGGCATGAGAAATAATCTAATAACTAAAAATTTACAATGTTATATGGATGGGAAGCAAAGCAAAATGGGCTCATTTGGAAGCTCTTTATAAAAATAGCCCAGGATTTAAAGGACTGCGGCTAATACCGAAATTGACCGCACGTCATGTCATTCCACACAAGTCTTCAGTAAGACTGTCAGTGTAGCAATGGGATTCACAGCAGGTAAACATTTAACATTTTGACTCTTTTTTCCTGCCAGATGCTGTCCTGGTTTTTAGCTTATATATCACAAGATTGGAATTCTAACACAGCCGGAGGCGCGGCAGACCGGGCAGAAGACGGTAGTAGTGGATGGCTTCCCAGAGAACTGGCTGTAGGACTACTAATGGCTAATGGCAGACTAGAAAAGTATTTTCCTTGATATAAAGGTTAAAGTAGGAGTTTTTAAAGTAGGAATTTGTATGTGATTAGTACTACTGTTAGTAAATTGTATGTAACAAATGTGAGAAATCTAATATGAATCTTTTTTTTCCAGATTCCTAAGGAAAGCACTGAGTCTGCAGAAGTTTTATTATTTTTTGATAGGCTTTTTGATTCCGTCAATGAAAATTTTTGTAAAATTGTAAATGGCAAAGTTTATCGGCAGTCTCGCCAAAATCGCCACATCACAAATTATGGCATAAGAGCTTACCAATTTTAAAAACAATGAAATTTATCCGTGACAAGGCAAAGTTGGTTCCATCTATTTCTAGTTGGATTAAAACAATTCAAGCACTTCAGTAAATAACTAAAAGACTACATGGCTTAGGCTTGCGATCTATATTATTTATTTATTTATTTAAGACTTAGTACAATAACAAATATACAGGCGGACTTAATGCCTTGGGCTGCGCAATTTCAACCAAGACCCGCTGGAGAATTTTTTTGGTGCCATACGAGCTCATGGGCAACGAAATGTTATGCCAAACCTTGTGTCTTTTGAGGCATCTTATAAAGCCTTAATGGTAAACAATATGGTGTCACCTAAATCGGTAGGGGCTAATTGTGAGAGTGACGACAGTCATTGCCTACATAGTTTAAAATATAACTCATAATATTCCCAAGCCCCCTACCTAAACCTATAGAAATTGATTTTAACCATTTAAATATCGAATTAAAAAGTTTTGATTCAAAATTATCTAGTGAAATTCTAAGCGAAATAGAGAAATGTGCAGCAGTAGCGTATTGTTGTGGCTGGGTCATTAAATTTAATATATATAAAAAAAATCGAAAAATTGTATGGAATGTAAAAAAGCGTTAGAAGAGAATAGTGAAGAAACATATCTATCCTATTTAAAGTCCATTACTTTAAAAAGAAATACGAGTAAATGTATTCTTCACTATCCCAGTAAATATTTGCTGGAATGTATGATCAAAATAGAAATTATTACAATCGAAATTTCAAAATTGTGAATCCAAACAAATCGTAAATTATATAGAATTGGTAACCACCACGCTTGTATCTCTCGATTTTATTCGATGTGACCAACACAAAGTTAAATTAAAAGAATTTCTATTAAAAAAATTCATACATTTACTTATTTTCAATTGGTGCAAAGATGTCAGTTATTTTGTTATGTGGCAAAACCATAGTTTATGATCAAAATGACCCAATTAAAGAATTACCACACAATTATTATGTACGGCATAAAATAAGATATAAATAAATGTTTTCCGAAAAAATATTTTTTCTTTCTCTCATAATAATTTATTTCCTATAGATAACGCATTGTGTATTTAATAATAACCAGTTTTAATTTCTTTAAGTTTACAATTTATTAAATACACAACTAGTATTACCTCTAAAATCACTTGGATATTCGTGTTTAATTACCGGATGATTTTCTAGCTCTAGAGTAATTCTAGACTTCAAATACAACTTTTTCTTTTTTTTATTATTCCCATAGAAAAAGTTGTATTTGAGGTCTAGAATCACTCCTTATTTTCCCGACGGTTAAAAGTCATCCTGTCCTATCTGTGTAGGGAGCTTATTATAGTAAGACACCTATGTGTGTGTGTGTGTGATTTGCTAGTAGGTATTACGGGGTCTGAGAACTAGATGGCGGTATGAAATACAAAATCGAGAGATGGCTATCAATACGTCAGTACTTTTACTCATCTATGCACCTCACCTTGGGCTTCACCAGTAGTAATGGTACCAAATCCTAATGGAGATGTGCGAGTTTGTATTGATTATCGCCGTTTAAATGCGATAACGATGCCAGATACCTACCCCATCCCTCGAATCGATGATCTGCTGCATTCAGCCAAGCCAACTCCATATATGACGTCTCTAGATCTAAAAGCAGGCTATTGTCAAATTAAACTTCGAGAGGAAGATGAAGACAAAACAGCCTTCATAACTCCTTTTGGCGTATACAAATTCTAGCGGATGCATAAAGTGGTGGTTCCCGTTATTTGCGTTTGGCTTAGATGCAGCATGCCAGAACGCATGGCTGATCAAAAGACAGTCAGATAACAACTGGACCTACTGTGATTTTCGGCGAAACCTTGCAACCATTTGCAAAAGTATGTTAAGCCTCCAACCCGAAACTCAGTTTGTGGTGTACCTCTAAATATTAGGGTACCTAGTGAGGTGAGGAGCACAGGAAGTGCCGAAGCTCTTTCGCCAATCGGCCACTGTCATGAACGTACATACTAGAAAAATGTGTGGCAAGTGCAATAGCGGTTTACACCTTAAGTGTTAGTAAAATTTTCATAGTAAATAAGTGTCTTATAACGTTCACCTAATTTTCTTTCAAAATAAATGTCATAAACAAAATATATAAATAATATTAGTACAAAATCCGGCTTTTTATTCTTACCTCCAACAATAAGGAATCTGAATCTCACAATACCCAGTGTCACCTGTAGGTGACACCCACATAAAAAAAATCGGCTTGGCATTTTTTTTTATTTTTTTTTTGTGTTAACTAAATGCATTTAAGTTATTTTAGGCTCGTGTTAGTTTGAGCCCATTAGCTGGCTTGTGTGGTACCATAGCGCGTTCTTTTAACCTTCTCCGAACAATTCGAGCGCTCACAGATACTCCGTGGAAGTCGCGAAGTTGGGTTTTGTATCTCAATGGAGGTAAGGTGACGATTTCTCAAGCTGGTCGTCACGATGAATCGATCCTGCCTTTCAGTTGTGACCCGAGATCGTGGCCTTCCTTGGCGACGAACAAAGTCACCAATCACTAGGTACCTCCGATAAATATTTCGGACCGCAGATGGACTTAAATTAAGTTGACCACCCACGTTTCTTGCTGTGTCCGGCCTGAATAAGTGCCACAGCTTGGGCGGCGACATCAGGTGAAGTATCCATAGATTGTTGATAGAACATCACCTTAATGTTAAGAATAAGTAATTTTTGTTGCAAAACCA